AATCAATTTGTATAACTATAAGCGAAATTTTACAAATCTTCAGGGAAATTCGCATAACTTCAGACAAGGCCAAGAATCTACAGTGAAATATAAAGTATTTCACAATAGTTTGAAGATCCTCGAAACATTATTCAACATCAGAAAAGTTCGTACATCTTTAGAAAAAAGCTACATAACTTTGAAAAAAATTACAGGACTTCAGAAAACATCACAAGAATCTCAGAAATGTTAATGGATGTTCAGTAAAAATTGCAGATCCTCAGGGATTAAAAAAAAATATTTACACGATTTCAGGAAAATTTGTAGATCTTGAGAGAGACATTTAAAACTTCAAAGAAGCTCAAATATTTTCAGATAAATTTTGACAACTTTAGGTAATCTTCAAGGAAATTTTCAAATCTTCAGGGTAACCCTAGAGGAATTTAAAAAAACATCAGAGAAGTTTGCAGATCTACTGAGAAATTTATTGACCCTCAAGTTTTTTTTTGTAGATCTTGGGAATAGAGCTACGGAGCTTAAGAAAACATTACAGAACTTTAAAGATATTTGCAGGAATTTTACAGAAAGTTTCACAGTTTCACACAAATGTGAGATCTTCAGAAAAATTCGTTAAATGTCAGAAAAGCACCTCAATTCCAAAAACAAATCGCAGCGAAGTACAAAAGTACAATATTTTGCAGAACTCCATGGAAGTCGGAAATAGATAGATCTAAAGAACTTCAGAGAAGTCCGTAGACCTTAAGAGAAGTCCGTAGACCTTAAGAGAAGTCTGTAGAACGTCAGAAAGTTCGTACGTTTTTAGAAAAATTTGCAAAACTTCAGCAAAACTCACAAATCTTCGGGAAAGTTCGCCGATCTTTAGATCAAGAATCCACAAAGAAATTTAAAGAACTTTAGAAAAGTTCGGAGATCTACTGTGAAATTTATTGAACTTCAGGGCAGTTCGTAGATCTTTAGAGTAGAAATACAGTACTTCAGAAAACTTTACAGAATTTGAAATAAATTTTAGGAACTGTAGAAAAGTTCAGAGGGTAGGTCGTAAATCTACTCAAAAATTAGCAGATATTTAAATAAATTTTCAGAATTTTACTGCGGTTCTTGGATTTTGAAAGACATTCACAGAACTTCAGGTAAGTTCGCTGATCTTTAGAGATATTTGCACAGCTTCAGAAAAAATAGAAAAACTTCAGAATACTTCCTAAAACTTCCGGAAAGTTCAAAAATTTCTAGATAATCTTTTAATTCTTTAGAAAATTGTATAGATGTTCAGAGATATTTGCAGATATTCATTGAATCATGAAAATCTGCAGAGAAAATTACAGAACTTTCGAGAAGTTTGTAGATTATTAGAAATGTTGTGAACATCAGAGATAATTGTTGATCTTCAAGGATCTTAAATATTCAGGGATTCAGGAACTTTGTAGGTAAATTTGCTGAACTTCTGAAGAACACACAGAACTCCAAAGAAATCTGTAGAACTACCGAGACATTTGCAGATTGTCAGGAAAGATTGTTGATTTTTAAGGAAATTTTACCGGAGAACAGAAACAAAAATTCAGGGACGTCAGAAGGTTTGAAGACCTTGCAGAATTGAGTTGTTAACAGAAATTTTCAGAACTCAAGGAATCATGTATATCTAGTGAGAACTTTTCCCACTAGCTTGTCTAAAGTTGGTATCGACATCCTGACGAAGTTTTGAAAACCATTTTCATCTTCATATCGCAGCTCTTGATGGACAAGATCAGCCGAATCCCTGCCGGTGTTCCTCCTGAGCAACCATTTCCTGCTCCACAAAGTTCACCTTCTCTTTCTCATTTTATTTAAAATAATAAAAGCAAATACGTCTGCCGAAACTAGAGCAATTTTCCGGTAATTCATGATGGAAGTATTTACTTTTGATTCCTGATACAGTTTTGTTTTGAAATCTAAATTGACAGTTCTTTCGACATGTGCAAGCAGTGTGAACACCAGCAAACAGGGGGGTTCGATAAAATAATAATGTGTATAATTTGTATGCACCTGGATTTTTTTTCATCTGACCTTGAAAAACCTCGAAAACTCAGGGAATTTGATTCCTTGGATTGACACCCTGTATTAGTATCGTCCCAATGACGCGTTCATCTAGACAAAATTGATAAATAGCAGATTTTTAGCGATGGGCCCAATCTTAGATCCAAAGGCCAACATTAGAGCCATTCCCCCTATCTAATATTTCTCTTAGAATCTGGAATATGTATTTCTTCAAGCTCGGAATTCTTAACTTTTCCTTAGTACGGGATACATCAAATTAAATCTGAGGTCTTCAAAAATAGCAATGTCCTAGAATTTTTCGGTTTGGAAAATTTCTCGACTTCCCTGGGCATAGTGTATGATTGTACTTGCCATTCAATTATACCAAAAATGGTACAGGCATCGTAAGCTGTGGAAGTGCATCTAGAACACTGAATTGAGAGAACGCAGTGAGCTAATATGCGGTAAGCAATAAGGCCATTACTAATATTAAAAAAATGTCCTATCACTACAAACCATATATAGAGAGATTTCTGAGCCTGTTACAGTTTTGCATTAGTAGGGGAAATGTATGTAATGTCGGCCTAAGTGTCCCTAATTTGGGCCCATACATAAATTCAGCAATCGACTAAATTTTCAATAGCAACCACAAATATCCATTTATACCGTCCCAATGACGCGTTCATCTAGATACAATTGATAAATAGCAGATTTTTAGTGATGAGCCCAATTTTAGATCCATAGGCCAACATTAGAGTCATTTCCCCTATAATGCTCTTATTACTATAGTATTCATTTTTGCTCCGTAGAAACCGTAGAAAGGCGAGGGAGGAAGCTTACTTTCTAACTAATCCATATGTCAAAGACTCACACACTTTTTCTTTTGATAGTATCAAACAGTACGCAGTTAAATTCACCCCTCCACACGGTACTCTGAAACGACGACGCGTTTGAAATCATCGTCAAGACCATCGATCGCCAACGAGTGAACAAACCAAACCGAGTGGCAGCGCACATACGCATTCTTCGCTTCGATCAACCTCTCTTCACCATTGAAGTCTATTCTGCGAGTCGTGTCAGTCTCTGTTACTAGTGAGGTGACAAAAGTCCCGTCGTGTGAGGTGACTCTCCATTTGATGTTGACGGAGATTCGCCTCACACGACGTGACTTTTGTCACCTCACTAATGACAGAGAGTCACGCGACTCGCAGAATAGGAGGGACTGGTATCACTCACTGATGCAGAGGACTATAATAATGTCGCGACATGGGACCAGGAGAGATTGCCACTTGCATAAAACAACCAGATATCTATGGGTACACACTCAACCTCTTTCTCGAGTCACAAGCTTACAGTCACTCGACTCGGTATTTTCGGATTTTTTTTAAATTTTGCTGTATGTAGCTCCTCGATACACAATGTATATAGGAACCAACAAAGTGATGACGCTCTTCGTGAATGATTTGTGTATTCTCATTTGTACTACCGTTTGCGGTTTACACATGATTGATTCGTGTTTTTCGAAGACGTTGCCTGGTTTGAAAATTACATGAGCATCTTCTTTGAAATCCAGGTGTTCGGAAATAAAGATGAGCAGTAAGGGAAGCGCCCCGTAACGTGGGTAGATCACCTTTTCGTTTTACGTTACGGGAATTAACATCGATTCCTAGTCCTGAATACTTCAAACTAGCGGAACAGGATTTTTCAGTAATCAAAGAAACACATCATAGTCCTTGTTTTTTGTTATGCCTTGTTAAGTCCTTAGGATGATCATGAAACATGGAAAAACTGAGTTAGTTAGTATTCATTTATGTGATTTCTAATCTTCTATTCGTTGTTCCCTAGTTTGAAATGGTTAAGAGTAGGATTAAGGAAAGAATGACAACTGTATCAAAACCGAATACTTCATAATTTCTCAATAGTGATGAAGTAACATGACATATTCTAGACAAAGGACACGGAACATACTACAATAGATCAAATTACTGGTCACAGTGGTTTTATGTCCCGAACAGAGGAAAACAAAAGGGAAGCGCCATTCCATGGTGAATAGATGTTTTTAGACACTGGCGATGCGCAGAGCCATATCCTAAACATCAACATAATTATTTATTGTTCCGCAAATTTTTAATGAAAGTATGTATACCTATTCAATTAACTTCAGAATGAACGGTTTGTAAGAAATGTAAAAACAGAATGTTTGCTTTGCGAATGACGCCTTCGGCACTACTTTACCTATTATCGTCAGAGGGTAAATGAAGTCTTGAGCGCTGATTTTTTGCATAGCATTCCAGAGCCCAAAATGTTTCGATTGGTCAAGCTACCGAGTCTGACCTCTAATCCAAAGTTGACGGTCAGTTGTTCAGATTCTTGATGTGTCGTAAGTTATCAACGAAATTTTTTCATGACAAAAGTAATATTGAAATAAAATTGATGAAGTGGTCCTAGATTCCTAGAATATCTCAACATTGTTCGAGTTCAAAGACACGCCACCCTACAGTACAGTGGGATGTACGGTGTTCCCAATAAACAAACTGTCGTCGACCGTCCTATACACAATCGAAGCACCGAGCACTGGTGACGATAGTGCTTGCCAAACCATCGCCTTCTCTGATCGGTCAACTGCGGCCAACACACTTCCGTAAACTTCCTGCTGTTTAGTTTTCTAACCGATGGTTCGCTGCCTGACGTAGCTCCTAACCAAAAAAAAACCGTGAGCGTATGTTCCTCCTACTTACCTGGTCTCTGAGACTCCAAGGGGCTAATAAAACACCCGTTCGATCTCCGAAACGGGTTATCTGACTTTGCTCACATGCTGCTGCTGCTGTTGCCGCCGCCGACGCCGCCGCGCGTCGGTCGGTGTTGTGTGTGGTGTGAGATTATAGACGCAATTCAAATTAATTTCGCTTTTCTTACCTGTTTCTTTTCTCTCTTTCTCTTTCATTCCTTCGGACTTACGTGTGTGTGTGTGGATTTCAATCTTTCGCCAGGTACTTAAAACCGAAAAACACCTCTTCTACCTTGGCCCGACTTAGCCACAAGCACACACTTACCTACGCTACATCCCATGCCATCTATTGCTCGAGTGGGCTTTCATTCAAGAAAATCTGTTTTCATCCGTTCATTCAGAGCTGGCTCCACGTTACGGGTGTGTATTTACAACAACGCCGCGAACAGGTGACTTGACTACTAAAACAGCAAAAAATTAAAGAACCGAGGCACAACAAACAACAAACGGAACAGGGCGCGTGAGCCGGTTCACCACATCAAACTGCAATAGACGACGAGACGCGACGACACCACACGGTGGTGGTGTGCCAGTTTCGGTGACAGGTGACACAACGGCGACAGGCTGCAACGTTAGGAACGATCGACCTAGAGAGAGCACTTTGGATGGGACAACGCAAGGATTTCCGGAGACATAAGAAAAATGTATGTAAATGCAAACTGTTTTACGAGACTGTCGATAACCACTAGCACCGCCTAAAGAATAAATAATGCTTTTTCTGTTTGAATCTGGAGTGTGATGGTATAAACCATTTTGGTTTTATACTACGATCAGAAAATTGCTCATATTACGTAATATCTTGATATCAAATGTCATATATTTGCAGAAAAAAATAGTCGTAATGCTCATTGCAAGACAGCATATATTACGTAGTATCAGCCATGGTCTGAACATGGTTATTATATTGTGTAGGTTGCGTGTCCTAGACGATTTATTGTGATTATAAACTAGTAAGTCAAACACGGTGTGATTATTGAATACAGTCGTTTAGCGTGATGTGCATTTAACATACAATCAAAGCTCGAAATGATTCAATTATTGCTTTATAAAAAATCATTATAAATAATGAAATGCAAAGTATAAATTGTGAATATGATCCGGACCTTGGATGGCCACAAACTGGCCGCTCGGAAGATCTGAAACATCCGTAGAAATAGTCTCTTCTGGAGATCATATTCCAAGCAGAGGGGAAATAATATCCTTCGACGATCCTTTTCTGCCACAAGATACACACCCCAAGTAGCAATTTGGGATTTATGAGGGTTCTGCAGACTATGATTTAGACTTGTAGCATGCTTTAAAACCGTGATAAAACTTGCAATGTTACTTGGGACGTCTCTGCTTAAATTAAAAATTAATAATTGTGTACTGGATTTGGTCTTTAACATGAGCATTAATGACCGTATAATTCGTAGTTGCTACTGCATGATTGACCTGATTCAGCCAAATTTTCACAATAAACCAAATGAATGGGACTGGATTAACATGCTATTCTTAGTGTGCACATTCTGGTGAATCAGTATTTTCAAGATAAATAGCTGTGATCACGTCCTTACGATCATCGGGGAAGGGAACCCAGACAACTATAACACGATGTTACACGACATAAAACATTTCAAGTAAGATATTGTAGGTTGTTAGCCTAGTCGAGTACATTATGAAATCACATTTGAAGTTGTTCTAACACCCCAACAATTTAAAGTTATTGTTAATAAACCGATATTGGGTAAGTGACCGTATATTATCATGAGTAACTCAATAATTTGTCTTTGGATTTTTTATTTTGAAACGGTTTTTATAGTAAAATATCAGAGATTTCGCAATATACTCATCGTATATAGTATACAGCAATATACGCCATCAGGTTGACCAAAACATTATCCCTTTCTTCCTCGCCATAATACCACTTATTCTTTATGCAATCCTGAGGTTTTTTCTCAAAATTTGTGCCAAGTCGGTTAACATTTACCCATTTAAATCGCCTCATCTATCATATAAAATGACCACTTTAAGTCTGTTATTTGAAACTTAGCATCTTCAACTATGCATTTAAATCTATTTTTTCAGAGTTGAAGTTGAAATGTATGTATGTATGTAAAGGATACCACTCATTGTTGCAGGGCACAGCCATTAGACAGTGGACTGTCCACCTCGTATGACTTGATCAAGTGGTTGTATTCAATTTACTATTGTACAGAGGCGTCGCGTACCTCATTTGTTTACCTGCGTACCAAACTTTGTTCGTTATAGTTTACCACCACATAGGGGAAATGGCTCTAATGTTGGCCAAGATTGGACCCATCGTTAAAAATCTGCTATTTATAAAGTTTATCTAGGTGAACGCGTCATTGGAACGGTACCAATGGCTATTTTTGGTCGCTATTGAAAATTTAGTCGATTGCTGAATTTATGTATGGGCCCAAATCAGGGGCATTTAGGCCGACATTACATCCATTTCCTCTATTAGTTTTTTTTTCAATGATCCATGGGAGGGACATATTCTCATTTACTATATTAATCACTGCCTAACGTAACATTTTAAGGGCCTGCATGGACATTTTCCTATCATCTTGTGTAAACAAAACTTGTATGGTCCTTTTCGCGCTAACCGAAGTAGGAGGAATTGCGAAACTTAACTAATTCTTGTTTTTATCACAAGGCTAACTCATTCGACTGAAGTTTAATAAAGAATATCAGTTAAACACTTCTGAAAACATTTTTTGGTACAAAACAGTGCCAAAATCTAGAGAAAATTCATGAAGTCCCCTGGGTAGCAAACTTGATTATTGAATTATTAATCAACTCTATATTCATCAGAACAACACTATCAACATGAACCAGGGGAAGCTCATAAGTTTTGACAGGCGCACCGGCGTAACCATCGGTAATTGAGAGATTTATAACTGACAAGAGAGTGAGAGCGATCTTTTGCGCTCTCTTTCTCCATTACTCTCTTTGCCTGCAATCAGATATCCAAGTACACAGCGAGAAATGCACGCTTTAAGGTGTATTAAGATCTGAGCGTACATTAGCGGAATGAGAGAGAAAACTAGTACTTTTCTCCCTCTTGTACTTTACCAAAATCTTGCTCTGCGCGTGAAATATCGGTCAGATCAGAATACACCTGTAGGCACCCATACATCACTAATCAAGCTGAACATTGCATTTGGTCCGAAGTAACATTGAGAGATTCTCTTCGTCGACTTTCTTTGTATATCCCTTCGGCGATGTAAGGACATTCCCAGGTATTTTTAGCATACAAATCGATAAAAGAAGCTTTTATCTAGCGTCACAACAAGACACGGTTATGTGCTCAAGTTATTAACGAAAGAGAAAGTCTACAAAGAGATTCGATCAATGTTACATAGGACCTAATGCAAAGTTCAGCTTGTAATGTTCTTCTAATTTAAACAAACACATTCATACCGGTCTGCATGTATGATACACGTCCAAAGCGCATCAGACAGCTGTTTCCGTGTTGCTCCCGTTTGACGCGTGACTGCTGAAACTTTCAATTACACCTACACGCAGGCAAAAGTACGTAAGAATTTTATAAGAAACACTTATGAATTTTAGCCACAAGAAATCAGCATGAATTTCATTGATTTGCCTTATGACAAATAATGTTGACAGAAAATAATAAAGTGGAGCAGACTGGAACCGAATGATGGACGCTGAGAGTACGAGGCCCGTGTGTTTGACCACTCGTCTTTCGACGCTTGGGAAAATGAAATGGTTAAAGACGTACAACAGCTACCTCATGTTACCCGAAAATCATTAATAAGTCACGTTTATGAAATTCATATATGTTGTTCATAAGTTGAACCTTATGAAATTCTTAAGTTTATTTGCCTCAGTGTAGTGGTGTAAACCGCCATGTATTGTGGAAAATTTGTGGTATGTTTCATGAGGTCATGGAAGGTTTGCTTGGTTTACATCAGGCATTTGACCATTCACAAACTTGCCACCCGCCACCCAAAAAAGCTCGCTTTTATGTGCACTATTTAACGAGTTATATCATGGATATCCATTAGGTATTAGGTAGACCACCCGAACTGAATTTAGTTCTTTTTGAAGCAAACCAAGGTCGAAGATTTAATTGAGCTACATTATAAAAAATAGTGTATTCATGGTCATTTGTGGTCTGGAGTAAAGAAGTACAGCTATAATGTGACCATAAAATCTATGAAAATCTAAACGCATTTTTAACATTATTTAAACCTGTATCGTGCACAGGTTGCAGATGTGGACGCGATGCCTCTGCTATTGTATCAAGGGCCAAAAACGGAGGGTGGACCCGTAAACAGAGACACTTACGCGTGATCCACGGGAGCAAGAAGAATCTCCATACAAATGTTCCAACCCGATACAGAACAAGCCATCATACGAGAGGATATCCCAATGAGTGGGGAGAAGAGCCCATCTTCAATTCACGAAATGTTAACAACAGGGAGTTGTCAATTCTAATCTCCCATCCATATCGCTTCAGATGGTCCCATCCCTACCCAATGAATTTATATGTTTATATGAAAATATGTAGAATATAAGAATATAATAGGGTAAATTACGGCTTCGGTAATACCTTATTCTATTATCGTCAAGGGGGTAAACAACATCCTTGAGATTCAATTTTGGCATGTGGATACATTGTGCTTCAGAGCATCTATTTACCAAATTTGAGTGCTCTAGGACTTTGTTTGCCCCCTGACGATAATAGGTTAAGGTATTGCCGAAGTCGACATTTCCCCTGCTGCCCATGATTTTCTGTTCTGTAAGCAGAAACGCTTGGTATGTAATGAACAATAGAAATACGCGATAATTCTTATAGTTTCTGCGGCTGATGTTTAATTGTAAACTACGAATGATACTGCCAACGGTGACTACGATGACGACAACAGCGAATTTGGAACTGAGCATTTGTCTAGGATATAACACCTTTGCCCGGCACCTCCGCTGGATCTGTAACTCTGTAACTGGATGGTAACTCTTAAGAGTTGATGAGTATTTGAATGCCCATGGCGAATTCCAAACTGCTCATCTGCAAAAATTGAGTTCGTATTGATGTGAAGCATCATTCTATTTAAAATTATCTTTTCAAAAAGTTTACTTATTGAAGAAAGCAAACTTATTGGACGGTAGCTAGAAGCTTCAGCTGGATTTTTATCCGGCTTCAAAATTGGAACAACTTTTGCATTTTTCCATTTATCTGGAAAGTATGCCAAATGGAAACATCTGTTAAATAATTTTACCAAGAAAGACAAGGTACTCTCTGGGAGTTTTTTTGATGATGATATAGACAATTCCATCATCACCTGGAGCTTTCATATTTTGAAAATGTTTAGTTTAAGACCTTACTTCGTCCAAATCAGTCCCCCAGGAATCATCAAAAATATTTTCCCGAGAGAAGATATTCAGATAATCCCGAGCAACCTGATTCTCAATAGGACTAGTAAGACCCAAACTGAAATTATGGGAACTCTCGAATTGCTTAGCAAGTTTCTGAGCTTTTTCCAAATTTGTGATCAAAATTTTACCACCTTCTTTAAGCGCTGGAATAGGCTTTTGAGGTTTTTTCAAAAAATTTGTGAGTTTCCAAAAGGGTTTGGTCTAATTTAGAAACATTTTTTTAAAAAGTTTTGTTCCT